ATTGTGCTCCGGAGCTCAGGGCTTCCCTTGTCAGCTGAGAGGGAATTCTGATCTCCCAGTGCCGAGTGGCCTTTCCTGTAGTGGCAGTTGGGGAGGGATGAACGAGTGGCCAAGTTCACTGGAAGTGAGTGTTTATCCATCACTTCCCTGTGTCTGTCTCCACCATAACACCTCTGCCCAGGAGCGACTTCAGTCATGCCAGGGGTTAGCTGCGGGATCAGGATTTAAACCGGAAAGCTTATCGCTAATAAGAACTGTGAATACACAGAGTTGTATCCAAGGGGGTCACGGCAGTCTCCCCCTCCACCACAGACAATTCAGCAGTGAACGAAGACCCGATGCTCCTTTCTGCTGAGTCTCCATGCAAAATGCTTTATCAGTTCAGCTGTATCAGTGATTTACAAACCAGAAAACGCGTGATCGGTTTTGGTTAATCACTCGGAAATGGCAAAGCTGTTGGTGCAGCTGCAGTTATTTCATACAGTTACTTGGGATGTGAGCGCAAAACACCCTTCGTTTCACTTCACCAACGGGCAGGAACTGCCCCCTTGCACCGCTACGGCTGCACCTCTGGAAGGAGGAGTGAGGAGGAGTCGGGGCCGAGCATCCCGAGTTTTGGCAGCAGAGCCGTGGGGCAGGGTAAGGGCTGACCCGGCACCCACGTTCCTCCCGTCGGAGAGCAGCCTTGCACCGGCCACGGAGAGGGACCCGCGTGCTCATCTCCTCCTGCGTGAGGTCCTTCGGCACTAGGTGACGTTAGCCATCCTTCGCGCTTTTAATGAGTTGGGCTTTGTAATTAAAGCACATCTTGGGCGTTTCGCAGCCTGCCATCAACATGTCTTGTCCACGATTGCTTTTCAGGAGACTTGTGGGGCTGCATTTTCTGGGCTGCGCTGGTACAATCTGGAGCTGTGAGAGAAAGCCCTCAGGGGCTAATCCGTGGCTGCGGGCCAGTTTCTGCATAAACTGGTCTTATTTTTAAAGTCCATTTTCTCCAGTACACTTTTTTTTGGCCTGCAAAAGACTTCTTCATTTAAAACGAAGAACGTAACACTCTCTCCTTTCAGTTGGTCTTTTGGACACGAGCCAGCAGTGCCCACAACAGCTGTACCACAGTTTAAACATTCAGTCTCTAATGGTTTGGGGAACATTAGGGTTTTTAAGGCTTCAACAGGTCTAGAGTAAATAGTGGTCAATAAAGAGTAGCACTTCTTTGTATCCCTACGCTCTCAGTGCTCCGCACTAGAATAAAGCATGCTTAGAATATAATCATTGCAAAATTAATATCCATGAAAGGTCCTTTTTTCAGGAAGAATCCTAGAGTAACCTGTTTCACTGAAAGAAGAGTTTGCAAGAGTTCAGCTCGCAGGAGGCTGGTAACGGGCATGGGGAAGGTTGCACCTAAGGTCTGTTGGGCGGGCTTGTGTCGCTCCCCGTGTCTGTGTTTGATGGCTGCTGTGTGGGAGCAACAAACAAATCACAGGTATTACTTACTCTGTCATCTTCTTTCACCCACCAATCTCTCGTTAACAATGTACACGAGGTAATTAGGATTTTTTTGTCTTCCTTACGGCTTTCCAGTGTTGCGTAGAGCTGAAAGCCTGTGGGCTAAAAGGTGATGTTTAGCGTAGTGTTTTGGACCCAAAAACCCTACGGTAACCGTGATGGGCGACAGTTGGGCATCGCCCTTGTGAGTAATTGACCCCAATGCCCAGGTCTAGCGCCGCCAATTAGTTAGTGTTTAAGCCAATTAATGTTGGTGGAGCTGTCAAACTGTGGAGGCGACTCCATCTGCAAAACTTCTTTCGAGTTTTTCAGATGTGGGTGAGAAAACACAACCGATGTGGGGCTCCCTGTCGGGAAGGAGATCCCGTGGGCGTCGCAGCGCTGGGGCAGCGTCCGCACGGCCCAGGAAGGGCTAAGTTGCTCTGTTGGCCTCTGGCCGCTCGGACTTCGCTGGCAGTACTTCATGCCGCTGCGCAAAAATAGTTTGTAAGTCATCGCAGTCTCTGTATGGAACTGATTAACCCCTTCCCATACCCTTCCGTGGGTTCCCCACCGATGTGGGGCACACCTTGGCGCCCGGACGGGCGGTAGGGCTGCTGGCACGTCCCCTGCCTGCTGCAGCTCGCTGAATGCGAGGAGACAAGGGGTGCTGGAGCGGGAGAGGGGGAGGCTTCCCAGGACAAACAATGGCAGTGCCAGCCGTGCAAGGCATTCTGCTGAAAAACAGGATTACACCAACGCCTGGCTGCTGCGGGGCCTCTCGTTAGTTGCGCCGCAGGGTCGGCCGGAGCGCGGGGTTCGGTAACACTCGTCACCTTTTTGTCTGGAGCAAGGTGGTGGCTCGTCGGCGTTTCAGTTGTAAACTGCTTTGCGCTGAAGCGCCATAAAGTCTTGCTGAGATCTGGTTTATTTTCAGTTGATTTTTCAAGGTAGCTGGTTTGCGGAATTGGCGAAAAGCAGTAGTAGAAGTTCTGAAGTTAACCAGCCCGGCCAAGAGGCTACTCCTGCGTGGCAAGCCAGAGCCTGAAAGGAGCGAGTTAACTTTATTTAGGGCCGTTTCCTAGGGTTCGTATCTTTACTTCCACTGGGAAGTTTCATAACATTTTCCTACCCATCGGTATTCCATTAAGATTTAGTTGTGTAACCGAAAAGCCGTTCTGCTTCTCATGGTTTCCCCTTGCAGCTGATTCAGAATGCCCTAGATGGCCATAAATGGAGTAAATGCATCCAGGCTGCACGGCCTTGGTTTTGTTTTCTTATAAATTGAAAACAAGATTTGAAATTAGGTCCTGTTGTCAATTTTCCTTTAAATAATCGCTGCCTAATGACATGATTTAAGAATTTTTGTCTAATGTCACAATACTCCTGGGAAAGCCTGTGCCTATAGTAGTGTTGTAGTTAAAATGTCAGTTACCATATGCATTTAACACCCCTTTATGTAAAACTATATAGTTCTATATGTATTTCTATATGGATATATATTTCTGCGTGTATCTATAGGGAGGATAAGTCAGTGGAGTCATTAAAGATACACGTGTGGGTCCTGCGGTGTTGGACTGGTCTTGTTCCTGCTGTGCAGAACACCGTGCTGGCAGGACTGACCCTAAGTGTGATTTGAGGTCTCCTCCAGCCCTTAACAGAAGCAGCAAGGTTCAAAGAGGACAAAAAATGAAGTGCTGTCAGTAGAGGAAACAACATAGGGATACAGATGAAGAACGGGGTTTGGGTGAGTGGAAAAACATGCTTCTGGGGAAAGCCTGAGGCCCGTGCCATTTGGAGAACTCTGCGGAGCGCCAGACCGACTGACCTCAGGCTGCAGCGCTCACATCTCGCGGGACTGCTGAAGGGATGTACGTCTGGACATCGCCTGGGGCTTGCCAAGAGCCCGTCGCCGAGCTGCTCGCCCCGGGCTGCGCCGCGGCGTGGGACCGCGTGGTAAGAGGGGCCTCTGACAGGCGGCAGGAATCGCGGCTGGAGGGCGGAGAGAAGGTGGACTTGAGCAGGATAGGAGAAGGGCTGGGGGATTGGTGCTGACCCGTGAAAAAAAAGGTCCGTCCTGTCTGCAATTTCTCCCTCCCTCCTTTGCAGTGAGTGGCGTTTGTTCAGATTAACATCCCCGCGCGCCGTCTCCGCTCGCTGACACGCGGCATCCCGCCGTCCAGCAGGCGCGCATCTGGTTTGGGAAGATAGCCGCAATCAAACCCAGGTGGAAGTTTATTCCTTTGATTCAGCATCTGTCCGTGGTAATGGGAAAAATGCGACCGAGGGCCTGTACAACGGGCCTTCTGCCGGGTCCGAGCAGGATCGCTCGCGCTGCCTGTTGAAGGGCCCTTTCCGTGCCTGGCATCAGCGCGCTGTGCGCTTGCTGTCCTATTCGAGTCAGTCTCGCTTCTCCTCATCCTTGGGAGTTTGGCTCTTTGCAGATCTTCGCTGCTTTACACGTGCCTTATTGACTGCGTCTCCGACAGCGAATTGTCACGTGGGCTGGGCGCTGTGCGGAGTGAAGCTGTTGTGTCAGCTCCTCTGGCAGGCTGATGACACCCGTGTCGTGACGCAGGATCAGCCCGTGATCCTTTCCATGTCTGTTGTCTAGGCTGGTTTACATCCTTGGCCTTGAGCGTTGGTTTTTCTCAGGTTTTTCTTTTATTTTTTCCAGCTTATTTTCCACGTTATCATCCTGGTTTGTGCACGCCTTTCATTATATCGGCTACTGAAAACTGTAAAGCTGGTTTGTTGGCTGTTCTTAAGCCCTGCCTTTCTGTAAGGCTCATGAGTCTAATCTTAGCTCGCTACGCTCTCCTTCTGAGCCAACAATTTCCACTTTAAGGACGCTTTCGCTCTAGCGTACCCACGCACCCGGTGTTACCTGCCTTCTGGAAGCACTGCTGGGCATCTCGGGTGTATTTTGCTCTCTGTTGACATTTTAAAATGACGGGAGAACTGTAGCTTTGCCCTGTACAACTTGAGATAACATATCTGGCATCTTGACATTCAGCAAGGGGGATTTTTAATGGCTAAACAGCGTTGGGGTGTATTGGAAAAGGTGTCGTCATACTTGCTTACTATGTACATGGCATCCTTTTATTGTTCGTTATTATTATTACTAATACTCTTATTATTATTAAAGACCCTGGGAAGCAGACAGTAAGTTTTTGTGGTGAACGCTTCATGTTTTTTTTTTCCTGGTGATGCCACGTGAAAAAACGAGCTTCCAGCCTACTCGCTGCTCAGTTGTTTGGTGATATCTAGAACGGGCCTAGTAATCCCAAATCCACGGTAGATGTTTCTTTCGCCAGTTTACAATGAATAATCCTCTTAATTCCTTGAATAGCAGCTGGGATGGCTACAACCTGTGCCTAAAACCAAGAACAGCTTACTGAAAAGCCGCCTGGCCCTGCGAGCGAGGCGGAATTTTCTCCCGGTGGGGACTGCCTGGGCTGACTTTCACAGGGGCAGCGCTGCCGGGACGCTAACTTCTCCTTTCTCTCTTCCAGATGCAGCAGCTGTTTTATGAGAACTATGAGCAGAACAAAAAAGGCTACATCCGAGACCTGAGGAACAGCAAAATACACAGAGCTATAACGCTGCACCCCAATAAGAACCCCCCGTACCAGTACAGGCTCCACAGCTACATGTTGAGCCGCAAGATAGCAGAGCTGCGCCACCGGACCGTCCAGCTGCACCGGGAGATCGTCCTGATGAGCAAATACAGCAATACCGAAATCCACAAGGATGACCTGCAGCTGGGGATGCCGCCCTCCTTCATGCGATTCCAGCCCCGCCACCGGGAAGAAATCTTGGAGTGGGAGTTTCTTACAGGAAAGTATTTGTATTCGGGTGCCGACGGGCAGCCCCCTCGGAGAGGAATGGACTCTTCTCAGCGTGAAGCGTTGGATGACATTGTTATGCAGGTGATGGAGATGATCAACGCCAACGCGAAGACCCGGGGGAGGATCATAGATTTCAAGGAGATACAGTATGGCTATCGCAGAGTCAATCCGATGTACGGAGCTGAGTATGTTCTTGACTTGCTGCTCCTGTACAAGAAGCACAAGGGGAAGAAGATGACCGTCCCCGTCCGGAGGCACGCGTACTTGCAGCAGACCTTCAGCAAGATCCAGTTCATGGAACACGAAGAGATGGACGCCAAAGAGCTGGCCAGCAAAATCAACCAGGATTCTGGGTCCTTGTCCTTCCTCTCCAACTCGCTGAAGATGTTTGTTCCCTTCCAGCTCAGCCGATCGAAAGTAGAGCGGAAGGAACTCAAAGACAAGAAGATCAACATCCTGATTCCTCTCTCCGGACGCTTTGACATGTTTGCGAGGTTCATGGGGAATTTTGAGAAGACGTGCCTCATTCCAAACCAGAACGTCAAGCTGGTGGTCCTGCTTTTCAATTCCAACTCCAACCCTGACAAAGCGAAGCAGATCGAGCTGATGAGAGATTACCGCTCCAGATACCCCAAGGCCGACATGCAGGTTTTACCGGTCTCGGGGGAGTTCTCGAGGGCGCTGGCTCTGGAAGTTGGATCCTCCCAGTTCCAGAACGAGTCGCTACTTTTCTTCTGCGACGTTGACTTAGTGCTTACCACGGAATTCCTCCAGCGCTGTAGAGCCAACACGGTTTTGGGTCAACAAGTATACTTTCCCATCATTTTTAGCCAGTATGATCCAAAGATTGTTTATAGTGGAAAAGTTCCCAGTGACAATCATTTTGCCTTCACCCAGAAAACAGGTTTCTGGAGGAACTACGGCTTTGGCATTACCTGTATTTACAAAGGTGATCTTATTCGAGCAGGTGGCTTCGATGTCTCCATCCAGGGCTGGGGCCTTGAAGACGTAGACCTGTTCAACAAAGTCATTCAAGCTGGCTTAAAAACTTTCCGAAGCCAAGAAATTGGAGTGGTCCATGTGCATCACCCTGTTTTTTGTGACCCTAATCTTGATCCAAAACAGTACAAAATGTGCTTGGGGTCCAAAGCTTCGACCTATGGGTCCACGCAACAGCTGGCTGAAATATGGTTTGAAAAAAATGACCCAAATTTTGGGAAAAGCAGCAATACTAATGGCTCGGTGAGGACAGCCTAATGTCCAGCTATGCTGGAAAAGACTTTTTTTTAATTATCTAATTTATTTTTGGGAAAAAAATGGTTTTTGATAATTCGCTTTTAAGAGACCACACAGGATATATTTTAGAAACCATTGTTGTTTTCTTACAAAGCGCTCGTTTGGCGGAGAACAAGGCCCTTGGTGTTTTTCCGTTGTTGTGGTTTTTTTTGGTTTTGAACAAAACCGTGATCAATATTTGCCTTCAAACAAAACGGTTTCTTTCAGAGTTACCTTGACCCATCAGCGGAAATCTGACGTGAATGGGAATTTCCTTGGGAACAAAAGAGCGTTTCCTACCTTTTCTGCTGCTGGGATTCTGTCAGCGGGGACCCGAGCGGCGGAGCGCCGCGTCGTCGAAGCGGTTTCGGCGGGACTGCTGCCGCGTTCCTGCAGGAGAGCCGTCGTTCGGGAAGCGGCGTTAGCACGAGGCCAGTCGGTGTGGCGATGGTGAGGCGGGCGGGGAGGGGCGTTTTTCCCCCAAATGGCTGATTATTTCCGTTTAAAAATGCCCACTTCCACGTCTCCCGGCCGGGCGGGGGACTTCACGGGAGGGAAGCACATAAGCACAACCTGCTGTCCCTGTAGAACCTTTGGCTTTTCACGCGGTCCGTATCCGGACGTAGCGCTTGGAGAGCCCGCGGTGGGTTCTGCGTGTTCCCCCCAGCCGCTGCCCCGTCTGAGACGCGGTCACCCGGACGCCGACGTGCCACGAAGGGAGGGGAAGAGGACGGGGAAGGCGACGGTGTGCGACGAACAATTAGAGATCCCTAACGA